TCTCTATAAAAGACCCATGGGAGGGTCACGAAGTTGGGCCATGGATAGAGCCCATAGCAGAAGATGCTAAAGAGACGTACTAGGGGTGGACATCCTCCGGACTTGGCAAAGAAGAGTCTTTGCTATGGAACCGAAACAATACCTCAAGGAGGGAGGTAGAGATTCGATGTTGCTTGGTGCAACAATCAACGGATAGGAGCAAAAGATGAGTGGCCAAGATAGGGCCGTGGAATCCCTTGGAAGGAATCCAAGTGACAAAGTTAGGCGAGGAACACTAATGTGTTGGACGCTAACAAGTTGCGGGAAAGGAAGTGTGTTTCCAAGGAGGGATTCCGAAATGCTCCGATTTGGCGAAAGTGGAAGCTCCAAGGGAGGGAGCGGTAAGGTAGCCAAATGATAGGGCCATGAACAGCCCTAGCACAAAGTATGATAACTGGAACTTTGGCACGAAATAGAAGAGAGGATGATGGTGCCCTCGAGTAGAGAACTTCCTAGGATGGGAAGTGGAGTTGCACAAAAGGTGCAAGGCAAGGTGTCGGAGACACCTAGGAAATTGACTCCAAGAAGTCAAAATTCAAAGTTCCAAAGTGCAAAGGTTATATCGATGGAAATTGAGACTACTCGAGAAGGAGTAGTGGGATTGACTTAGAGAAGGGTCTCTAAGAGGTTTAGCGAGAACTAAACCAATAAAAGGAGAGAACCACTATATGTGGTCCAATCAGTCTCTGAGTTGGAGAGACTACCCTCCTTAGAGGATATGCAAAAGGCATGGTGAGCCTTCAATGTCCAACCATTGACGAATATGGAGAAGGCATAGTGAGCCTTCAATGTCAGACCATTAACAAATATTGGCTAGGTGCCAAGGATGGAAATGGTAACACATGAGGGTGTTACTTTATAAAATGGTTTACCGTTCGATGAGGACATCGAACTTCGTCTATGGGTGGTGGAGTTGTGAGACACAAAATCCCTAGGCCCCAAAGTGGAGCCGGAAGGGCGCCACATGGTAGTGGCCGAAGCGAGAGCCAAACGAGCGTAACACGTTTGGACCAAAAGCTCCGACTTGAAAAGTCAAGAGCGGGAGTGGAACTCCCAACGAAGTGCTCGAGGAACGAGCACGAAGCGAACAAAAGGCGAGGCTCCAAAGAGGGACCCAAAAGGGCCAACACATGACACGTGGGAGTGTCCGAGATGGACTCAAGTTGGAGTCCGAAGTGGAGTCCGAGATGGACCCGAGTTGGAGTCCGAAGTGGAGTCCGAGATGGACCCGAGTTGGAGTCCGAAGTGGAGTCCGAGATGGACCCGAGATGGAGTCCGAGAAGGAGTCCGAAGTGGAGTCCGAGGTGGACCCGAGATGGACCCGAAATGGAGTCCGAGATGGAGTCCGAGATGGACCCGAGATGGAGTCCGAGATGGAGTCCGAGGTGGACCCGAGATGGACCCGAAATGGAGTCCGAGATGGACCCGAGATGGAGTCCAAGATGGAGTCCGAGATGGACCCGAGATGGACCCGAGATGGACCCGAGATGGAGTCCGAGATGGAGTCCGAGATGGAGTCCGAGATGGAGTCCGAGATGGAGTCCGAAGTCGAGACCGAGACCGGGACCGAGACCGAGACCGAGACCGAGACCGAGATCGGGACCGAGACCGAGACCGAGGCTGAGGCCGAGACCGAGCCCGAGCCCGAGTCCGAGTCCGAGTCCGAGTCCAAGTCCGAGTCCGAGTCCGAGTCCGGAGCCTGAGAGGGTGAAAGCCCAAAGCGTTCGTCTCCCAGACCCTAGGGGGTTTGGTGAGCTCCAAAAGTATAGTAGGGGGGAGGACTGCAGTGGAGCCAGTTTGGCCAGGAAAGGCCAGTTTGGCCCAGGAAGGCCGGACCCAGTGTTGGGTGATGAGCTGCCCACTGGGAAGTCCAAGACTAGAGTGAACACGGACCGACAAGCGGGGTAGCTTGGTGAAGTGTTCAAGAGCCGGCTCTAGTTCCCCTGGGAGATCGACTGGCCGATGCTCCCAGTCCAAGTGTGGGTGGCACTACCTACTTGGATACCTGGTGTGGCTCAACGGAACCCGCTCTAAGCCCATGGCTAGAGCACCTAAGGGCAGAAGGCGAGGAGAGTACCCAGGTGGCTCGCGTAAGGCCACGGTGTTCCGAAATGTTGCCCAAAAGGCCCAGACTGTGGAAAGGAAGAGGAGCAGTCCTCTGGGGTAGTGACCAAGGACACAGTCGTGTGGTGAGGAAGTCCCAGAGGACCGTGGGACTTAGTGGTCGGGCCTGTGGGTCTCGATCAAGTGGCAGTGTTGGCAAACACGGCTAGGGGCAGAAAGGGACTTAGTGGGGACTTATAGAGGGATATTGGGGAAGGCTATTCCCCTTGTCGGTGGGCATCCTAAGGATACTATGGAGTGGATCTGAGATGACCACTCACGGATGGTTTGCCTAGTCTTGGAGAACCAAGACGGTGATGCAAGTGGTATTGGACTACCAGTGTGGCAAAGGTGATTGGGCATGGCCTTAGCGTAACGGGCTGCTATGTCGGTGGTACCTTTGAGTGTCGGTCATGGGATCGGTCACGTGGAGCACTTGGACCAAGTGCAAATGTTGAGTGGCATGGATGCCATTCTCAAGGCTAGCAAGTCCCAAGTCTTGGATTGGACTTATGGAGGTTGTGAATGAGACTCCTCCAAGTGGTCAGAGGTGTGGTTAAGTGACTAAAGTAGAATGGAAAATTTAGTCGCTTACATGAAGATCCATTAGCTCCGGAACCACGACCCCTTTCATGCTCTTTTCCAAAAGAGGAGAAAACTATGACAAAGCTACACCTTCGAGCAACGTCCCAATTGTGTCGATTTGAGACTCGGGAGTGGGGTACCGCCGATGTTGAAGTGCGAAGATCAGCTCCATCTGGTTTAGGAATCCGCAAAGCTCCAAACACTCACCTAAAAATTTTGCCGGGAAACTCACCTTCGGTTCAGGAACTTTGCTGGATCCTTGAGCCGAAAGTGAAGCAAGCTCCTGCTGCATGCGAAGAAGGGTCGCCTTCAACTCGGTATTCTCAGACTGGATTTTTGCAAGGACTTCGGCAAAGAAATTAGGATGGCTTGGAGACTCCATCGGCAAAGAAGAAAGAAAAAGGGGGAAAAAAGACAAAGGCAATCAAACAATCAAAACAAGCTAAAGCAAAAACTGAAAAAAACACAATCTGAATCAAACTGTCAAGACCCCTAACAAGATCAAAATTGGAAAATGCAGAAGACAAAAAGAAAAGCTAGTGGAAACGAAAAAAAAGCCTTAAACTGGCGTTGATTCAGATTGTGGAGAAATGGTAGAAGGCTAACCTATATATACTATAGGTTGATGAAGCTCCACCACTCTTGGATCGAGGACGGCCTAAATATAGCTGAGGTCGATGAGGCACCCCATCATCATCAGGAATGTGGCTCGAGACTCAGGAATCGAACGGGAAATTAGAGAGTCAGGAATAGGGAAGTGTCTCGAGAGTCAGAAATAGGGAAGTGTCTTGAGAGTCAGGAATGTGGTCTGTAGGTCAAGAATCCGCCGAGAGTCAGGAATGTGGAAAGAATTGGGGATTCCTGACACTTGTTGAGTAACCGGTAGTCTATGCACATGCGCATAGATCCATCTTTCTTTTTCACAAATAACACTGGTGCCTTATACAACGACTTGCTCAACCTAACATACCCTTTGTCCACCAACTCCTCTAGTTAGCGCTTGAACTCCTTGAATTCCTTTTTGTTCAAACGATAGGGGGGACGAACCACCACCTTAGCACCCTCAACCAGCTCAATCTTATGTTCTATCGGTCGTGCGGGGGGCAACCCCGCCGGTAGCTCCTTTGGCATGGTATTCTGGAATTGGTCTAACACCCACTGGATCACTTCTTCCATATCCATCTTTTTGTCACTTTTCACCGAGAGTAAGCATAAAAATGCTATTTTGGTTCCTTTAGTGAGTTGTCCTTTCGTGGACACTAGATTTAAGCAGGAGTCTTTGGCCTTACATTGCCCTACCTTTAGATCCTGGGCCTCCACCCTAGATCATTCTCCCTGGGCATTCGCTAATACCACAAGGTTCCTCCCTTGTCCATGCAAGGCTACTACGAACTGATTGAACTAATCCATCCTAAAGATTACGTCAAATCTCGCCATGTCCAATACGGTGAAATCCATGTTTACTTTCCATGTCCCTACTTCGACTCTCGCTTATCAAAGTATCTCATCGGTGCTTTGGCTACCTTGAACAAACTCTATCATCCTTGATTCACCCAGCCACTGCACCGTTAGTCTGGCTTGCCAGACTATGTCTGCAGCCACAAAATTATCCAAAGCGCCCATGTTAATAAAGATCTTAACAAAGTTACCTTTGAGCTTCCCTCGGAGGGCTAGTAAATGTCGCGAACGACTCTCTACCAAAGTTGTTCGTGTAACTTTGAGCTAAAGACTGGATCACATACCTTAGTTTGGATTTCATCCGACTTAATGGCCATATTGGCTCTGGCCTTCTTTGGGTTCAAGAAGTGTCCCACTTCACCGCAGTTGTAGCATATGTTGTTTCCCACGCTACTAACAGACTTGACTTTCTTATCCATGGGTTTGTCTCTTTTTATTTGACTCCCCCACATACTTGCTCGCTGGCCACCGAATTTGCCTTTCTTGAACCCCAAGGACTCATTCTTAGAGAAACTCCTCTTGAATTTCTCTTTGCTATATGTTCCCCTTGGTTTGGCCCCTTTACTAAACGTGGACCCTGACCCCGTCGTATTCCCCTTTCGCAGGTTATCATTGAAATGCACCTTAATACTCGTATCCAACGCTTCCTTGTAATTTGTCGAGTTCTAACACATCACCTCGCCATGAACCCAGGTTTGCAAGCCTGATATGAAGGCATAGAACACATCTATATCACCTATATCCATAACAAATATCTTCTTTGCCAAGTATCCTCAAATATCCTGACAAGTATCTTGACAAATATCCTCATGAAGTACTGGTTGCAAGGTGAAAGGGAAGGAACCATGGAAGTTTTTATCGATAACTTGCCTGGACATCCAGACAACATTAGACACAACGGCCAAGATAGATTCTGGATTGGATTGGTAGCAGTAAGTTTGCTTTATATTTCATAACATCCAATCAGACTTCATGTGGACACTGACTTCAGGGAAGGACAAGGCTGACTGACACTTTAATGAAGATAGCACCACTGAAGCACATCTTGGCCCTTCCGGGTGTGCTGCAGAAGATCTCCGCGTCCTCAAAGATGGCCAAAGTTCTAGCAGTTGGCCAAGATGGGGTGCCGCTGGCATTCTATGAAGATCCGACAGGGAAGTTGATAGCCTTGGTGACGACGGCCTTGGAAGTCGGCGATTATCTCTATCTGGGAAACTTGGCCAGGAACTACGTTGGCAAGTTGAAACTTCGGCAGCTTTAGTCACGCCCGACGTGGCCACCAATAAAGTGTGTTGCTTTTTCGAGCACTTCTTCGAGACAGTCATCGAGCGACAAATAAGTTTCGATCTTGACAGTGTTGCACAGCTGCAGCAATTTGGACGACTTAAGGCAAACTCGAGCACAAGGTAAGCTAAGCTCTTTGTCATGGACTCATCTGTCCTAATAGGTGGGAACTGGAGGGCCACGGAAGCGAAGGAGAATGAAGACCAGGGGACTTGTGAGTAATTTGGTTTCTCTTGTGCTTACTCTAGTCGCATCTAGCTTAGTTTCCGGAGTAGACTGCAAGAAGAGGGCTAATGGCACAGTCGTTGTATACTGGGAACTTACGAGAAGGAAGGCAGTCTCAAAACAGCCTGTGAGACGGGGAACTACGGCATCGTCGTGCTCAGCTTCCTCAGCGTGTTTGGCGACGGGAGAGCTCCAAAGCTGGACCTCGCTGATCACTGCGGGGGTGTCAGCGGCAGTGCCATCAACGGCAGCGCTATCAACTGTGGTCCAGTCGGACAGGACGTAAAGTTCTGCCAGAGCAAAGGTGTCAGGGCGTTCCTTTCGCTCGGTGGGGCCGAAGGCAACTACAGCATTGTCTCGGACAAGGACGCCATAGCCGTATCGGACTATCTGTGGAACAACTTTCTGGGAAGAGGAGCAGGAAACAGCAGCTCCAGGCCTCTCGGCGACGCGGTGCTGGACGGGATCGACTTCGACATGGAGATGACCTCGACTCAAACCGGCTACACTCAGCTTGCCAAGCAGATTAAGCTCCGCTCCACCAAAGACAGGCCGGTGCTCTTGTCCGCAGCCCCGCAGTGCCCGTTCCCGGACGAGTTCCTCGGCCCGGCTCTCAACACGGGCGTGTTCGACTACGCCTGGGTCCAGTTCTACAACAATCACAACTGCCAGGACAACCCAAACAAGACTCTGGACAACGTGTTCGCGGCTTGGCACAAGTGGACGACCAAAGTTCCAGTGAAGAAGGTCTTCTTCGGCCTGCCAGCAAGCTTGAGCGGCGCCACCGACAGCCCCTCCACCAAGGACGGATACATGCCCGCGAAAGTTCTCAAGCAACAGGTTCTTCCGAAGATCAAGGAGTCGAGCAAGTACGGCGGCGTGATGTTGTGGAGTTACTACTACGATTTCGTCAAGCACGACGGGAGAAAGGAGCCGTACAGCACCACGATTAAAAACGCTGTATGATATATGGGTGACGCGTGCTTTTGTGCTTGTAATTATTATTATTATTACATGTTTTAAATCCTTTATTGCCCACCTAGAAGCGGAGGAAACGGTTAAAACGTGCCAGAATACCAAACGGAATGTTTGCTGTCGACCAGAATATCCAGCTCCTCCAAACGGAATGTTCACTCACTCGTAGAAGTCTCTTCCACTCTTGTTCGATCCTCTCGCGTCGCGAGTGCCAATGGGATTCCTTCTTGTGGCGATTCTAGCTGTGATCATCGGCATAGCCGCATCGGTGATATGGACGGCAATCGTCCGCCGCGCGGGGATTGATCCACTGCCCTCGGACTGGCCTCCAACTCCAAAGAGGGAAGGATTGTTCGCGGTGAACACAGTGCTCCAACAGGCGGAGGTGATTGGCGTGGGAGAGCTTCCCGGTCCCGAGGACATTTCCTTGGACGACGACAATGGCGTGCTCTACACCGGCTGCTCCGACGGGTGGATCAAGAGGGTGTCTCGAAAGACTGGCGAGGTGGAGAACTGGGTGAATGTGGGAGGCCCTACGCTTGGGGTCGTGCGCGGGCAACAAAAGAATTTGCTCGTCTGCGTGCCAGGCAGAGTTCTGTTTGATTTGACAAATCCGAATTGGGATTGAGACCGCTCATCCTGTTTCTCTCGCGCAGGGGCTGCTCAACATCACTCGGGATAAGCGCGTGGAGGTTCTCTCGAGCGAAGCCGATGGTGTCAAATTCATGTGAGTGTCAGATCTCTTTTATCGTCCTTGTGAAGAGGACGATGAGGTGATTTCAAGAGCTTTGTTTCCATCCTTGTTGATTCGAGAGCTTTGTTCCCATTGCTGTGATCTCGCTGGATCTGTATGTCCGGCACAGGGTGGCTAATGGATTAGACGTTGCGAAGGATGGCACCATCTACTTCACTGATGCGACGAGCAAGTTTCCGCTGGAGAAGGCCAAACTGGACGTCCTCCAGTGCCGCCCAAACGGCAGGCTCTTGAAGTACGACCCCGCGACTCGCACCACCACAGTCCTGCGCAAGAACATGTTTTTTGCGAATGGAGTCTCGCTCTCTGCCAAGGAGGACTTTCTAGTGGTGAGCGAGACATCCATGTAAGTCATCTCGATCATGCGCTGGCCACTGAAGCTTAATTTCGCGCGTCCTGGCTTTCCAAGGTGAGGTGCATGAAGTACTGGCTGAAAGGTAAGAAAGCGGGAACCATGGAGGTGTTCATGGACAACTTGCTGGGGCAGCCGGACAATGTCAAGCGCGATGGCCATGGTGGATTCTGGATAGCATTGGTGTCGGTAAGTTCGATCCAAGCATTAATCCAACTCGTGAGGCTCATAAGCATTCCTGGATTGATCAGGGGAGGACATGGCTGAGCGACATGATCTTGAAAATACCAGCATTGAAGTACATCATAGCGCAACCCGAAGTTCTCGATAAATTCTTTGGGAATGCGAGGATGGCCAAGGTATTGAGAGTGAGCGAGGATGGGCGACCGCTGGCGTTCTATGAGGATCCAACGGGGAAGGTGGTGGGATTTGTAACGACAGGCTTGGAAGTTGGAGATTATCTTTACCTTGGAAGCTTGGAAAGGAAATTCATTGGCGGGCTAAACCTTCAGGAATTACAAGTAACTTAGTAAATAGGTGGTATGATATTTGAAACATATAATGAACAATAACTTTCTTTTAAAAATAAAAAATAAAAAACATTAAATCCAGACCATTTAAAGAATTTTATTTTGTAAATCCATAGTAAAATTAATAAAATCTAGCATTAAATATATTTTTATTGAGTTAATATACTTTTTTTAGTTATAATTCTTATAATATTAAAAAGAAATCACCTTCCATTAAAATTTTGAGTTGATTAATTCAACTGTTATAATATTAAACTTATCACCTTTCCATCAAAATCTTTAATAGGTTTATATATGTTGTAATGAAAAACATTAGAACAAATATTTTTTTATAAATAAAATTCATTATGTGAGGGCCAAGTGTATGTTGTATACTAATATTAACATAATGGGATTTTAGTAGCTGTCAGATTGATTTCAATCCAGACCACTCGTTCCTGTATATAGATTAGGGTTTTCGGGCTAATTGATATGCATATTTTCTATATTCCCTTTCCATATTCCAAACACTCATATTGGTAGAGGTGAGGGGCACTTTTGATTGTCCCTGAGAAGTGTTTAGATTTGGGATTTTGGTTTAGACCTAGCTTTTGCATTGTCTAGATCTAGGTTTTTCCATTTCCTTTCTTTTGTTCTTTTTTTTCAAAATTTTGGTTTAGATTTAGCTTTTTGCATTGTCTAAATTTACCATTTCCTTCTAACTTTTGTCATTTCTCTTTTGCTCTTTTTTTTTTTGTTCATCTTCATGGCAGATCAACAATCTCCTCTTTTGACTTTGGAGTAGCAATTGGTACAATTGCTTGATGCTATGCGCTTGCAATTGAACAACTAAACTCAATTGATGGCAGCATTCACGGCACATGGTTACAACTCCTCCTACTTTTGGTACCAATCCTCGCATTCAATCGGAGTTCTTTTGCGGGAATCCTGGGGATGATGTGTACTATTGGTTCGATCACTTCATGGTGATTGCCACATATCATTCTTGGGATGATGTTTGATGTTTGTGTGAGTTTCCCACGTGTCTCCAAGGGATGGCATTGCAGTGGTATAATGGTTTGAGCGTAGCCACTCGTGTGTAAGCTATAAAATTTTCCTTTCCAATTTACCAGCTTACTTGTTTATCCGTCCAACACTGCCTTGGCTTTTAGCTAAGTTCTCTCACTAAGGTTCTCACCTATTGTACCAGTTCTTACTTGGTCCTACTTGGTTTTAGCTACTCACTGCACGAGCAATGGAGTGTTAGCCATCCATCCACGGATTCCCAAATCTCTCCCAATCCCCCTCCCCGGGTTAAATTGAACTTAAGGTTCGGCTACACTCTCTACAGGCACAAGTAGCCAAGCACACCAAGCTTCTAAGTTCCTAACATCCCTTGGTACAACAAGACTTGATCATGGGACCCACTAAATCTTAAGCCTTGGGTGCAACACTTGCTTCGGGACGCCAGAGCAAAACACTGTGGCCTAACAGCCCGATACGGGTACCTCAACCCCCCCCCACTGCAATCAATTTCCTTTCTAGAAGTGGGAGTTGCTCTTGAGCACTTCCTTGGGTGGCCCCTCCGACGCCACCTAAGTCCATGCTCACTCCCACCCAAGGCCCCTCGGTCCTAGTCTCAACCTTAAGTCAGTTTGGAAGCACCACTGGAGAGTTCCTTTAAGACTACTTTCTGGACCTCACTATCCCTACTATACTTTTGGAACCCCCTATAGGCCCCCCCCCCCAGGAGACACACACTTTGGGCTTTCACCCCTTGACCTGTATTAGTACTCAAACTTGGTCTAAGTCTCGGACTCGATCTCGGGACCCAATCTCGGACTTGACCTCGGACTTGGTCTTGGACCTGATTTTGGATCTCGGACTCTGTCTTGAACTCGATCTCGAACTCAGTCTCGAACTCAGTCTTGGAGTCAGCCTCGGACTTGATCCCGGACTCTATCTCGAACTCGGTCTCAAAGTCGGTCTTGGACTCGGTCCTATCCGATGAACTCTTTATCATTTCGGTCGTGCTTTTGGGGATTTTTTAGCTTACGACACCTTAGGGAATTCGTTCTTTACAACTCCACCACCCATAGAAGAAGTTTGATGCCCACATCAAACGTCTCTTTTTAATTCTACGACTTGTTGACCATGTCTCCAGAGGCATCCCCCCACTTAGTGGTGTGCCTAAGTTAACCTCCCCAGCTAAGAGCCCATGACAATGAAATAAAGGTGTCCCTATACCCCTCACCTCACCACGCCCTAATATGGGGTCAGGACTTGAACCCAACCTTGCTTTACTAGGGGGTTGGGACTTGAACCCAACCTCTGTAGAATACATCTATGGATTCGACATTTCCGTGGGGAGTTGGGTGTAGTTCCCTATGCTTGGTCGACATAACTAACCCATGCTAATTAGTTTATTTTCAGCGCGCCTTCGGGTCCTAACATATGCCATTGCTCAACTTCACAAATTGATACTTTTAATTGAACTTTGCGTAAGTACATAGAGTTTTGCTATGCAAAAATTCCTCTACTAAATTTTGTGCATTTGCAAGGTTCTCCTTTGGTTCCCATGTTGCTTCACAGTATAAAAATCCTTTCCACTTCACATGGAACTCTCTCACTTCGCATCTTTGTCGCTTGCTCTTGCATGCATTAAGGATGGCCTTAATTTCGTATTCCTTTTCCCCTTGGATAACCTCAAGTAAAGGTCTTACTTGGTCCTTGTGAAGCAGATCCTCAAAATATGGCTTGAGTAAGTTCATATAGAACATTAGGTGCATCTTCCCCATCTCTCGAGG